ATGGCTGAGCGTCTGCCTTTGGCTCAGATCATGATCCCAAACTCCCAGGATTGAGTCCTGTGTCAGGCTCCCCAGAGGAAGCCTGCTTCTCCCTCTGCCTATGTCTCTGCCTCTCTCTCTGTGTCCATGCACCGGGAGCCCGATGTGGGATTCGATCCCGGGTCTCCAGGATCACGCCCTGGGCCAAAGGCAGGCGCCAAACCGCTGCGCCACCCAGGGATCCCTATCCCCACTATTCTAAATCAGAGTTTTCCACATGCCAATCATTCGTATAATATTGCCACAATTTTATTCCGTGGGTTTACAACTGCTAACTTTTTACTTAAAATTTTTTTTAGACTTATGTATATATTTTGAGAAACAAAGAGAGCATGCACGGGAGAGGGGCAGAAGGAGAGGGAGAAAGAATCTAGAGCAGACTCCCCACTGAGTGAGGAACCTGACACAGGGCTCAGTCCCAGGACCATGAGATCATGACCTGAGCTAAAATCAAGAGTCAATGCTTAACTAACTGAGCCACCCAAGCACCTCTTAAAATTTTTCTTAAAATTTGATTTCTTTTTACTTTAAGAAGTTTTACTTAAAAAAAAAAAGTTTTACTTAAAAGGGAACTTTATAACAACAACTATAAACAGAAAGCCTGCATCCCATGCTTTAAGTAGAAGGTAATGATAAAAATAAATATATAAAAAAGACAAAACAATGCTTTGGCTAGATATAATTTACTGCCTGCTAAAAGCAGTAGTTGGTGGGGTTAGACAGTTTGTTTTCACAGGAGGCAGTTTGGATTTTATTTTAAGTACAGTGGAAAATCACTGAAGGATTTTAAATAGGAAGACACGTGGTCTGATTGGATCTTAACAACCCTCTCTTGGAAATTTTTTTAAAAATGAGAAAAGACACAGAAGAACTGAACTGAACAATACCATCATCCACTTTTACCTAAATAACAATCGCCAAACCCTACACCCTAATGGAATCCTTGTGCACTACTGACAGGAGTGTGAAATGATGTAGTCACTATGAAACACAGTACAGTGGTTCCTTAAAAAAAAAAAATCAGAACAGAATTACCACATAATCCTGCAACTCCAATTCTGGGTATATACCCAAAGGAATCAAAAGTAGGTTTTGAAACATTTGTACAACTATGCTCATAATGGCATTAATTACTACAGCCAAAAGGTGGAAGGAACCCAAGGTGAACAAATGAATGGATAAGCAAATGTAGTGTGTGCACATAGCAAACTATTACTCAGTCTCACAAGGGAAGGAAGATCACCCATGCAATAACATGGATGACTCCTCAGGACACTTTACGAAGTCAAATAAGCCAGTCACAAAAAGATGAATGTGTTATTCCACTTATAGGAGGTACCTAAGGAGTCTAAATCATAGAGACAGAAAGTCATGTGGAATTGTCTAAAGTTTCTAGACATAAAAGATTCCATTTTCCTTTCCAAACTGATGGACTCTTGAAGAGAGACAGAAGCAGGAAGTGTGGGGATCCCTGGATGGCTCAGCGGTTTAGCACCTGCCTTCGGCCCAGGGCGTGATCCTGGAGACCTGGGATCGAGACCCGGGATCGAGTCCCACATCAGGCTCCCTGCCTGGAGCCTGCTTCTTCCTCTGCCTGTGTCTCTGCCTCTCTCCCTCTCTCTCATGAATAAATAAAATCTTAAAAAAAAAAAAAAAGAAGCAGGAAGTGCTGTAGAAGCAGTTGCTCATAACATTTCAATAGAGCAACTGGTATGTGGATCACATGAGGACAGTGAAATTATTACATACCAGCGACAGTTTTACTTGACAGCACTGATAAAATAATCGAGAAGATAGGAATCAGAAGTGGCTCAGCCACTCAGCACCAAACTAGGAGGGTTCTGTCTTCTTTTCTTCATCTAACTTATGGAACTACCTCTTTCCTTTTCTCTCAGAAAAAACCCTAGCTTTCCCTAAATGAGTGAGGCAAATCCGTGGTCCCCGAATTACAATTCTGAGATCCCAAATAAAGACCTTTGTTCTTTTTCAGTTTCGCCTCCTTTTCTCAGTTGATGGTAGAATGGTGGTTCCCAGATGCCAGGGAAGGAGAACGAGTAGATAGTGTGTAATGGGGACAGCTTCAGTTTTGCAAAATGAAGAATTCTGGGGATGGATGGTGGTAATGATTGCACAACAATCTAAATTCATTTAATGCCAAAGAATTGCACACTTAAAAATGGTTAAGGGGCACCTGGGTGGTGCAGTCGGTTAAGCACCGACTTTTGGTTTTGGCTCAGGTCACAATCTCAGGGTTGTGAGATCAAGCCCCTTATGGGGCTCTGCCCTCAGCATGGAGTCTGCTTGATATTCTCTCTCCCTCTGCCCCTCCCATTCATGCGTTTTCTCTCTAAATAAATAAATAAATCTACACACACACACACACACACACAAAGGTTAAGATGGTGGGTGCCTCGCAGGCTCAGGTGGTCAGGAGTTCAACTCTTGATTTCAGCTCAGGTCCTGATGGGTGGTAAGATCAAGCCCTATATTAGGCTCCAGGCCCAGCAGGGAGTCTGCTTGAGATTCCCTCCTTCTGCCCCTCCCATACACGCATGCATGAGCACTCTCTATCTAAAATAAAATAAATATTTAAAAAAAGAATGAAAAAAATAAAAAATAAAAAAAGAATGATTAAGATGGTAGGCACCTGGCTGGCTCAGTTAGAAGAGCACATGACTCCTAATCTTGGGGCCATGAGTTTGAGCCCTACACTGGGTGTACAGATTACTTAATTTATGTTATGGGTATTTTACCACAATTTAAAGAAAACCACAGTTACACCAAACCCAAAGCCTATAGATTTTGGCTTGAGTAACTCAGTAAATGATCACCTATTTACTAAGATAGGGCAAAATGTGGAAAGAGCAGCTTTGGGTAGAAAAATTAAAGAGTTCTGGGGTGTGTTAAGCTTGATGCAACTTGACAATTAGATGAAGATGTCAAATAGGTAGTTGGATATCTAAATTTGAAGTGTCAAAGAAAAAGTCAGCAATAGAATTACAGATTTGGATAAAAATAAGGATATGAATACTTAATTTGGGGATTATTAGCATGTAAGTAGTATTCAAAACCATAGGACAGGATGAGATTACCTAGAGAGGAGATAGTTAGAGAATAGAAGGGAGTAACAAAACAGCCCTGGAGCACCTCAACATTCAGAGTTAAAGCAGAGGGCAAAAAATCATAATAATGCAGAGAATCAAGCAGTGAGATGAAGGAGATGCTTTAAAAAAAAAAAAAATCGGATGCCTAGACTCAGCCTCAGGAGCTTGGAACTAAGACGTGAAGGGCAAATAAAATGTCCCAGGGCTAGTTCAACAGTCTGTTGAATGAGAGATGGGAGGGAGTACAACACACAGTAGGGGGTGTGGGAGGAAGGAGAAGAAAAAAATACTTAGATGGCACCACCAGTAAGACTGGGTATGGGATGGTGACTAGATGTGGGATGGAAAGCAGAGGAAAATAAATGACATGCTGGTTTCCTTCTGGCAGGTTATTGTCATTAAAACAAATAATACAAGATAGAAGGATAGAAACAAAGGTCTTGATATTGTTTTTATAGTGGGGTGTGTGTGTGTGTGTGTGTGTGTGTGTGTGTGTGTGTGTTAGGAGGAGGGTTGCAGAAGAAAGAATGGTAGTCCTGACAGCCAACATTAGTTAAGCAATTAACTTGTCAGTGCTTTCTATCTTGGGGAATGAGACATCCCCTCACAAGGCACACTGTCATCAAAGACTACAACAATCCTACTTTGAAAATTAAGAAACTGAAGTGAGGAGGGCCCAAAGTGACACAGGTGGTTTGTAGCACAGAGGGCCTCCGAGTCTGATGGACTCTGAGCCAAAGTCTGAGGTACCCGTGGGATACTAGTTAGGGATGTGGGAGTCATCGAGGCAGTTAACATCTTAGGAGGTCACCCAGGGAAAGAATATACAGATCAATAAAGTATTATTCATATACTTGGCTAATTCTTATAATGGTACAATGGGCCTTTCTCTCACCTATAAATGAAGTAATGATTCATTATAGTAATGAAACTATGTGTAAACTGCTTTTCAAATTTTTGAACACATTATAGTAATGAAGCATTACTTCATTTATAGGGAATGCCCACTGAGGGCAAGGACCTGATCACAATTTTTGTGTTCCCACGCTTGTGCTACCTGGAATAAAAAGACCACTCAACAAAAGACTGTTAAAGCACTGAAAAAACAAAACAAAACAGAAGCCCAATAACTGGACATTAATAGAAAAATACCACACAATATGAAAATAACCATTTTCTGACCAAACTACAGCATACTTTTCTTCTGTTCCCTCTCTGGGTGGCATGTGACAAATGCCCTGTCTTTTACTGCACCACAATAATGTCTGTTTTATGAATTGTTCTGTTATTAGTACTACATAGGACTCTGAGAGACAGGCACTCTTATCCACCCCTGGGCACAGATAAGTACTTTCTGGAAAGACAATTTGATAAAATGTATCAAAAGCCTTAAAGCCCCAACTGAGTAATCTTATTTAGGGATTTATCCAAAGAAAACAGTAAGAAATATGGCAAAAGATTTAGGTTGGAAGTAATAAAAATATCCAACCATAGAAAAATTAGTAAATAAACCATCATACAGCCATAGGGTAGAATATCTTATGTTGTTCTTAAATCAAGTTTTTGAACACTTAAAAAAATAGAAGATGATTTTGATAAGTACGATGAAAAAAGTAAAATATAAACTAGACCATAGTACGACCATAATTTTGTATCTAAATGGAGATGTAGCTATCTACATATCATTACCTCGAAAAAAGATGGGTACGTACCAAAAGTACTGTAAGAAGTCTCTTTGGTGGAAAGATTACAGGAGATCCTATTATGTTTTTCAGGATTCCTAAAATTTCCGCAAAAAGTACATCTTTACTTCAAAACTCAAAAAAATATGGTAAGTAAAAGCAAGATAGCACTCACCTTCTTTCTTTTTCTAGAAGAATTCCTTGTGGGGTCAGGCTTCTCAAACTCTGCTGACTTTGCCTCTTCCTTCTCCTCTTCCTCATCCGGTATCAGAGAATACTTGGTCCCTCCTGGTTGCATAAAACAATCCTTTGCAAAGTGGCCTGCAGAAGAGAGGTAGAAAAGGTAGGGAGGGGAGAAGCAGCCTCTCTTAGCAGGTGGATCTTCCCCAGAGGCTCCTGAGAGCGGCTAGCTGGTTGAGGAAATATTACTGAGTTCATTCAGAGCAGCTGCTGGATTCAGAACAGATTTTCTGTCTCCTCAAGATGGCACTGCCCACTCAACCACAGCCAGACCAGCAGCTGGTCCTAGAGCTGTGGGAAATACTGGCACCGCTCTGGAAATGGCAGAAGAAGCAGGCTTGTGCTGCCTTCCATTAGCAATGGGGCTTAGTAATTTTTAAAGATCTGTTTGGAACTCACTCCTGACATCGAAAGGCTGCTCCAGAGAGCAGAATGCTTAGCAGAGGGAGCCAAGTGGCAGGCCAAGCACTACAGGAATATAGCTCTTAGGCAGCTGGCAAGAAGGCAGCATTCACATCCAAGCTAACACACTGAGAGACAGGCAGTCGCCTAGGGGCACTCAACATTCAGACTGTCAGATCTGGCAAGTGCCTTAGAGATCATCAAATTCAACACTGCATGTGCAGAAGATATAAAGGCCCAGAGCAGAGAAGTAGCTCAAGGTCACAAAGAGAGCAGCAGAGCTAAAACTTACCCCAAGTCTCATGCCTCCCTTCTCTGAGCTCTTCCAGCTGCACCAAAACCAACCACCTCGGGCCTGACCTTTGCTGACTAGGCCAAAGTCCATCTCTCATTATGCTTCTCTGCCTCATGTGGTACCTGGTAGACATAAGCTGAAGGTAAGAGGACCTCACCCTCCCTGTGCTTTTAGTGCTATCAAGGAGCCATTGAACAGCTGCTACAAAGCTGGTTTTGTCTAAGCTTACACAGACCCTGTTTCAGGGGCACAGACAATACCATGAGATCATCAAAAAGCTATGTGTAAACGGCTTTGCAACTCTGAATCCAGAAGCTGGATGATGCCTGGAAGGGGAATACAGCATACAGTTTTCCAAATATCTGGAATGTTCCCACGATTCCCCTGAGGAGGTATTCTTTCAATTTTATTTTTCCCTTTCTCCCTCTACATTAGTGGTTAGTAGGGGCTTAATCCCCACACATCAATCAGGGCACAAATATGCTACCAACTGTTGTAGAAAAATCAAGAGAGCAGGGTAAATGCAAGGCAAGGGAGGTGTGACAAATTGAGGTCACTCTGAAAATGAGACGCTGGCAATCCCTCTCATGATAGCTCCAACAAGAAGTCAGGCTGAGAGCACTCTTGAACACCTGAGTAAGACCAGAAGAAACCTGAGCAGGCGGCTAGGCTGTGTTCTTTATTACTAAAAGGCTACTGTATTCAGAAGTCTGAAGTTAAAGAGACAAAGAGAAGCAAGAAAGAGTTTAACTTGGATCCTTGAGGAACATATTTCCAAGTCACTTCAGTTTTGCAGCAGAATAGTAATGGTCCTTAGAGATAAAAATTTTGGAGTGTTAACCATAATCCAACACTCTCACTCCTCCTGACATGGTACATGGGGATCTTGCCCACACAGGACATCAATAGTGAAGAAGGGAAGCAGGGTGACAGTAGAGTATCCAGCATTCAGAAGAGGACACAGAAAGGGAATGAACTCTGCTAAGAGCCTAGCAGGAGTTACAGCATGAGTAGGTGAGGCCATCATTTGACTAAAAAGCAGGGTGAGCCACACCCAAACCAGGTGGCCTCCCCCACCTGGTAGTAAAGGTCCATCCCAGGGAGGAAGGACTGGCATGGCAGAGGCTTCACCTTACCTTTACAGCCACACTTCTTGCAGGTGGTGTTCAGGACAGCCTCGAGGGTGATCTTCTGCCCAGTGTAATCCTGGAAGGACCGCCGCCGCCTCTCTTCTTGCCTGTAATGAAAAGGATACCAACTGTTGGCCCTCTCAAGAGATATGGCCAGAGATACTAGAAGGTAATGCTGTATGCTGGGTTTTTGTTCTGTCTTTGGCAGGTAGAAGGAAGAAAGAAGGAAAAGCGTCCTGCGTGGGGACACAAACAGTGAAAGCAGCAACTTGAAACACATTATTTCATTCAGGACAGGCTCTGAATTAATAATCATGAATGAGACGACTTCATCTCACCAATGCACAGAGGATGAAGATACAATTACTCCCCTCACTAAGTCCCCTGTAACCCTGATGAGGTCACACCCAGGTTTAAGAGACCTTCAAAGACTTCCTAGAACATCAAGTCCAAATTCCTTACTTTGGTACTCAAGGCCTTGCACAGTCTGTCTCTAACCTGCTTCTCCAGCCCCAACCTTACTTGCAAGAGATGCTCTAGCCAAACAGGACTAGTTGAGCTTCTCCAAATGGTTCACTGCCTTTGCTTGCACAGTTCCCTCTCTCTGAAATGCTGCTTCCCCTCTTTCCTCCCACGTCACCACCCCCAAACATTTCAAGGCTCAGTTCAGTCACCACCTCTCCTTTTCTACCAAGCCTTCTCCTGAGCCTCTCAGCCAGAATTTGCCTCTTTGTTCACATTCCTGTAGCATTTCTTAAAAATTCTAAACTTATTACTAAAGTATAATATAATATACGTACAGAAAAGTGTTCAGAAACATATAGCTTGATTGGTTTTAACAATTTGTTTTTTAAAGATTTTATTTTATTTTTTGTGAGAGAGAGCAAGAGAACAAGCACAAGACAGGGGGAGGGACAAAGGGGAAGCAGACTCCTCCCCTGAGCAGGGAGTCCGATGCAGGACTTGATCCTAGAACCCTGGAATCACGACCCCTGAGCTGAAGGCAGACTCTTAATCGACCGAGCCACCCAGGCACTGTGGTTTTCATAATTTAGACATACCCAGGAAACCATCACTCAGATAGGAAACAGAACATTGCCAGCATCTCCAAGGCCCCTCTAGTCATCAGGCCTCCCCCAAGGGTAACCACTATGTTGATTTCTAACAGCAGAGATTAGTTATATCAGTTTTTGTAAATTATATCAATAGAATCATAGAGTATGGACCTTCTGTGTCTGGCTTCTTTCACTTGTTTGTGAGATCCGTCCATACTGTTGTGTAGTTGTGGATCACTGTCACTGCCATAAAATATTTTGCCATTGATCTGAGTAGTTTCTACTATGAACAGTGGTTCTTCTGTGAACTTCCTAGCATGTCTTTCAGTGAACAGATACATATGCATATGGTGGGAAATGCCTAGTTCAAAGTAGGAGTAGAACAGTATACTGGGTTGTAGAGCATTAGCTGTCACAGACACTGCTACCAGTTTTCTGTAGTGTGTTTACCAGTTACACTCCTGCCAAAAGCAGAGCCTAAGCACCCCAGCTGTCATGGCTTTTTCTTCGACCTTTACTATAATACACAGTACCTGCACAGAGCAGGTACTCAGAAATGTGTGATCAAAGAGTGTCACCCTCGATCACTCTTTTTATCAAACTCAAACAATAATTTATACACACTGCAGTCCTAGCACATATCACACTTTATTGCCAATACATTCATGTTTCTTTTCTAGATTGTAAGCCCTTTCTACAAGATTTTACTTATATGTGTTTCCCCAGCACCTTAGCGCAAGGCTTGGCAACAGCATCAATAAATGTTTATTGAAATTTCTGAGCTCATGGGGCCCTGGGTGCCTCACTCGGTTGAGCGTCCTTCTCTTGGTTTTAGCTCAGGTCATGATTTCAGGGTCATGGCATTGAGCCCCTCACTGGGCTCCAAGGTCAGCAGGGAGTCTGCTTGATATTCTCTCCCTCTGCCCCTCCCTCCACTCATGCTCTTTTTCTCTCTCTCAAATAAATCTGTAAAGAAAAAAATTTCTGTGCTCTTGGCTCCAAGTATTTTTCCTTTACCTGAACCTTTTTTTTTTTTAAGATTTTTAAATTTATTTATTTGAGCAAGAGAGAGAAACAGGTGCCCCCTTAGCTAAACCTCTTTAACTTTGAATTCTGACTTCATCTAAGCTTTTCCAACTACTTGATAGGTCTCTATAGAGTCCAGCAGAGACAAATATTTTGTCAAAAAAGCCACATTACCCAGAGAAATGCAGGATGACAACAC